CTTTCCCTTTCCTGTTGTTTTCTCAGCTGCTGACACCTACTGTGTTCTTGTCTCTTCTCTTCTACTTTCACTGTCCCTCTGCTTCTTTCCTTGCAGTCCCACACCTACGTGAACACAGCCAATGGTGATCAGGAGCTGAGGGGCCGACATTGTATGCACACCTTGCCTGAAGTCCACCCTCCTTTCCCACATAGGAACCACAGCTGCTCTCTAGAAGACCGTGATCCCCAGGTCTTTCTGCAGCCAGGGGAGGTTAAGTTTGTGTTAGGTCCCACATCTACCTACAGGCACAAGGTGAAACGAGATAGCGTCTGTCGGCACCACCGGGAGTGCAGGACACACTTCTGTGCCCCCAACAACAACAACGAGTGTGAGGATGAGTGTCCTTCACCCCAGTGCATCTATGAGAATGTCAACGGCTTACTGACCCCCAGCAGCACATCTCTCCGCCGAGGTGGGCGCTTGAAACTCATCCGGGAGGACCTGGGCTTAACCAGCTGCTCCCATCGCAGAACAGCTTTGCTGCACTACGAGAACTTGCCATCGCTGCCCCCAGTGTGGGAGTGCCAGCCTGTCCGGCGGGGGGAGGAGGACACGGACGCTGGGGATGGGCTGACACCTTCCCCCAATGGCTACCCTGAGGCTGGTGAAGACGATCCTCTGCAGAACTACATGAACTCAGAAAACACCGCGCTGCACGGGGGCAGTGGCCTGCGGCGCAGTGGCTTCCTGCCAAAGCCTCGTCGCAACTGCGTGTCCAGCGTCTTCAACTTCGACTTCCCCCGGCCCTGTCCAGAGCAGCCGCGGCAGCTCAATTACATCCAGGTGGAGCTGGAGGCTGAGCCCCACAAAGGACATCAGAACCTGCCGGTCCCCCATGCCCCACCTCCTGCCACCCACGAAGCCCGCCGGACGGACTCCTATGCGGTCATTGACCTAAAAAAGACAGCAGCCATGTCCAATTTGCAAAGGGCCTTGCCAAGAGATGATGGGACTTCAAGGAAAACTCGACATAACAGCACTGACCTGCCTCTCTAAAGGGGAGTGCCAAGTGCAAGCACTGTGTTGTGGCTTCGGTATCTGCCCTTCAGTGTATTGCCCGGTGTGACTTCCATTTGCCATTGCCTTCTGCTTTCCTGTTTACCCCATTACCTGGTGTCATGGGATGGCTCCTACAGCTGATGTTAAGGCTAGTCTGTTTGTCAGTCTTCCCCTCTCCACTCTTCCTGTGCAGTTTGTTTTTTAAAGCCTTGTAGGACTTTTGAAGACACTGTTTGGGGGTTAAATTTATCTTTCTGGAGAGAGGGGCAGAAGGTGCCAGCAATAGAACTGGCACTGTGTGGATGCAACCTTGAATACTGCTTTCCTGGCAGCTCCTTGAGTGGTGCCAACAGCCTGGCAAGGCAGTAGCGTGGTGGAGGAGTGTTCCTGAAAGCAAGTTGCTTTAGGAGCTTGACTGCAAATTGAGCCCATTTCTTGGGGATTTCATGCCTTGTGACTCCTGGTGAGCTCCAGGAGAAGCAGCTTCTGTGGTGGGATCATTCCAAAGTCTGGTTTTTCCCTTGTGGTTTCTCTGGTCCCTGATGACATGGGAGCTCATGGTGCAGTCTTTCTCCCTCTCAAGTCGCTACTACTTTCTCCCTTCTGCTCTGTTGCCTATTTTCCTGAAGCTCATAGAAGTCTTTGATTCTTCTGTCCCTTTCTCAGATTTGATTGGAATTGGGCATCTCCAGAAATTGACAGAGGAGGACAGACAGACATGGGCACAGACACTGTGATCACATAAACCTGCTTTCCCAAGGGGACCCTGCTCAAACAGAGGATGGGAAGACTGCGAATATGAGAGAAGTTTGAGGCTTGGTTTAGAAATCTTCACTTGTATGTTACCTGTTTTGGTTTTTAAAGGTTCTTTTTGGTGGCTGTTCATAAGTGCTGTTGATTTATTGTTTTATTTATTTGTTTACTTTATATTTATTTATTTATTTATTTAATGCTCTTTTGTATCGCATTGATAATTGCGAAAGCTGGTGCCTGTATGAAATATGTCCTCTCAGCGGCTCACAACCTTTGTCGGGGAACAGATCTTAGAATGGAGTTTGTGCCTTTATCAAGCTGCAAAGGGGAAAAAGAGCAGCTCTGAATAAAAAACTTGATAACTGGGGCTCACTGTTGCAGAGTGGGTGGGAAATGGTACGGGAGACGAGTGGTTGTGAGCATAGTTGCAAGGCAGCCAAACTCGTAGTCACATCAGAGTTGTTGCCTACACCCACGTGCCTGGCTGAGCCCACGCGAAATATTTGATCAGTGTTTTGATTGAATGCGCAGTTTGTTTCCTACAACTACAGGCTTGGAAGGGCTAAATTAGGCTCTTGGGTAAATCTGTGGCCTTTGATGTGGGTTTATCTATTGACACGAGGGCTGAATACAAGCTGAGCTGTCAGGCCTACATGTGAGGTGCTAGGTAGGGTCTCTGCTTCTCTCCCGTTGCAGGATGTTCCACCGCCACTCTGTGCATGGTGAAATGCTGCAGCCTAATCCCTTCCTGGATTACTCTTTGCCATTGTCAGATGTTTCTATGAGACAGAAGTGCTGTAGTTTTGGAAGCCCACCTTTTTGCTGTCCGTGTTCTTCACCTTCCTCCCTGGAGTACGAGTTGAGGAATCCAGTGCTCTGAGTTGTCCCACTCCTGGCAGAAAGGTTGCCAAGCCTTGCTGTGTCCTCTTTGTTCCTAATTCGCAGTCGGAGATCCTCTCGGATGACAGAGGAGAGAACCTGATCATCTAGTTGTAACCTGATTCTGAGGTCCAGAAACTTGATTTCCAGATTTTTGAAGTGCTACGAGTGTCATATCGGAATGCGACCTTTCTGGGAGCAGGGACATGTGCTGAACAGTTAAGAAAAGTGATAAAAGTATAAGTAATACCATGCCTGAGTCTGCAGAGCACCAATTTCTTGACTTGCTGTTTATTGCAGTGTAAATTCAAAGTGTACCACATACTGAAATTCAGTGATTTTTCTTTTTTTGGAGAAGTCCTTGCGCTTGTCTCCAATGAGAATGTCGTCTTTTCTCCACCCCAACCATTATGCATTTTGTAACGGAAAGGAAACCTGAGTAATATATTTTTATATGTATGCCAAATAACTTTATTTGAAGGAAAAAAAGACAAGTAATGCATCCCCCTAAATCTAGGTTTCATTTAGGGAAGTGAGAGAAGAAATTGTTTATTTAAAAAAAGAAAAGTGAACTGTATTAAACTCTAAGGAAGCTATTTAAATAAAGAGTTTATAAGCTCTAAGTATCACCCTCTGGGACAGCACTAGGAACCCTGACATGACAGCAAGGGGCTGGGCTCTGGGAGCCTCCATATGAACCTGCCTTTCCGGTGTCACTGCCTGAGCTGAGAAATGCAAAATATTTATTCCCTTCTTCCCCCTAGGAAGGAAAAAAAGGATGAAATGTTTGATGTTTACATGGAGCAAGATGTCAGGGCTCTTTCCCACCCACATGGAAGAGGTGTTTTGCCACGTTTGCAGGTCGGTTAAATGCAAGGGAAGCCACTGCTGGATGACTGTTTAGCTGTCCTGGGAGAAGGTGGGAGAGCCCTGGGGCTGCCTGTTCTCTTGGTGTCACTGGCTGCTCCCTGTGGGGACGGGTGGCCCCTCTGGCTGGCTGCAGGTCTCCAGTGGGGTGAGGCTGGTGTGAGGGTCTGTAGCTGTCGGGAACTTGGGGTTGGGACAGCACAGCTGGATTGCTGGTTTTTCCTCTCTGCAGGCCTCGCAGAGGCTGGGCTTCCCACTTGTGTCCCAGGGGAATCCTATTTAGGTGGCTCTAAATTAGCGTTGGATTTGGGAAAGCTGGCCGTGACTGTTCAAACCACTGTCTTTCGTGTCCCCTGGACAACTTATGTTGCCTGGCTCCTGCCTCCCTTTCCTCTTCCGTGAAGCTAATGCTCCCCTACCTCACAAGGAGATAGAAAGCAGTAGTGACAAGGAGACCGCTGTGAAATAGCTGTGTGTATACATAGCAGATATGTTACCACTATTCCCTTAGGACATTCTTTATTCTGTTTATAGGGGTGCATGCTGTACCTATTCAAAAAAGGAGAAAAAGAATTAAATTTTCTCATCTGTAAGGTCAAAGGAGGGCCTGTGTTGGCTGCTTCTGTGTTTACTGTTTTCAGTGAAGAGTAGCCTGGCTGTCATCTTGCTTCACTGTCCTCTGCTTTGCTTTGTGTTCTCCCTTGGGGCCTTGAGTAGGGGGAGCAGCATTGCTGGCTTGGCAGGCTTTGCTCATGTGATATTGCAAGGCCAGAAAGCTTAGGGGGTGTAAAGCTGGTCACAGCTATTTGTTTGCATTGGGTTGGTTTTGATTAATGGTAAAGTAATGAAATGGGAGACTTCATGCAGGGAACCACTTGTCGTTTATGGCTTTCGCAGGGCACACCGTGTTCATGTGCCAGTGCTTTTCTTTTTCATTTTTGTGGATGACTTCACAAGAGCAAGAGCCTCATTAAGTGACTAGGATCCTTTCACAACTTCTTGATGCTCAGTTTCACAAGTGACATGCAAACGGAAGAAAAGTCTGGAGTTGTGTTTGAACTCTGAGGTGGTAGTTCTTGGAGCACCAGGGACAGAAATGCCATTATCTTGGATTTGTCCCTAATATTAAAACCTGAGTGGTGCTCTCCAGTCTCACAGCTTCCTCTAGTGGTCAGACTTGAAACAGTTTCGAGAGAAGAAATCAGTGGCAGGTTGAAAAGGCTGAGTTGAATTAATATTTTCTCATTCCTTCAGTTCCCTCCTCTTTGATTTGGGTAACGGGCAGTAGGAACAGTGATTCCTACTGCTAATTCTTTGGAGTCTTTCCCTGATACTATTTTCTTTTGATTGAAAATCATGTTTATGAAGTATGTTGTATTTTTATGGCACTTTGCAAAGATTGCTCTCCTCTTTCATATCTCTACTTAATTTACTTTTTGTGGGGCCCAATTCAGCCCAAGGGGTAACGTCATGAAATTTAGTAGAGGCACAGCCGTGACAGATTGGCTATTTAAGAGAATATTCCGTCAGGTGGCTAGAATTCATTTTACTGTCACATAATTCTGCCTTTGTCTCCATGTAATGGTTTTCTTTCTTACAGATGTTGCTTTGAGCCTTACATGCAAGTATGCTGGTCTTTCCCAATGGATGCATACTAATTATGTGTGTGCATGCTTACTTCTTGGATGAGGAACTAGATTAGGGGTAAGCATTGACTCCCATTATCTCCTTCAACCGCGATATGCCCCACACAACGAAGATGACCTCAGCAGAGCAGAATACCTCACCCTTTGCGGTCACATCTATAAATCTGGTTGTGAGTGTGAGAGATTCCTCCAGGGCTCTGTGCATCTAACTGATGCCACGCAGTTGACTAGGAGGAAATGAATGTGCAAATGTATGTCTGAAACCCTTTTCTCTGGAGTTAGTCCCTGAAGCTGAACTGCAGCCATGAGATCTGTTACTTTCCCAAGCCTGGTTCTGCAAGGCAGATGGCTCACACTGGTGTTGCCCCCTGTGCTGACCTGATCTGCCTATGAATGGTAACTTGGAAGAAGGAGCTGTGTTCAGCTGTTGTGTTGGCTGAGGCTTTCTTTGGTTTGTAAGGAAAGCTCTGGGCAGTGACATGAAGCCAGCCTGGATAGCGGTGAGGACCTGGCAGTATGGGCCTAACTGCCAGGTTATGTACCTGGCTGCTTAGCAGGTTTGTGTGGCCCCGCTAGAGCCTCTGTTGCATCTTTGCTGGTCTCCTTTCCCCTGCTTGCAAGATTGAAGCTCAAGGGATGTCTTGGTGAGCAGCTGTGTGCTGTGCAGAGAGAATTTGACTTAACTTCTTTAAGTGGTTCTTATTTTTGAATTAATCAACTGGACTTTTTCCTCTGATAGTTCTTCCCTGGTGATTGCATCAATAGATCTTTTACCAGTTCCTTTTCCTTTACCAGTTCCTATCCCTCTTACTAGGGATCTAGCATTTCCTGGCTCTCAGTTGTTCCTTATTGTGGAAGGAGTTTTGTTTTGTTTTTTTTCTTTCATCCCACTCTATATGCCTGCTTTTTCTCCTAGGAAAAGGAGATTTGAGTGTTTGTGAGCTGTACCTGCCTTACAGGGAGAGGATGGCAAAGGAGAGGTGAGGTTTAAAGGATTGATATTTTTGCAAAGAGGTTTGAATGTGTTATTTGTTACCGAAGTACTAAGTGTTATTTTTATTACCTAAGCCATGCTGCTCACTGGGAGAAAAAACAAACCCAGCTTCAGCTGTTGCTGTCTTTATTTCCAGTGAGAAATGACTGACTAAATACCTCTGATCCCCAGACTCCTGTCTCGAGCTATCAGGGCCGCTACCTGCGTGTTCGTGCCTCTCGTTGGGAGGTGCATGTGGTCCCGTGGCCGGCAGGGAGGTGCTGCTCCAGCTCTCGCTCATGCTCTCGACCTCTGATCCTGCTCTGGCTCGGGCCTGCGTGCTCTGCGGCTGTGGGCAGAGCGTGTCCTGTCCCTGTGTCTCCGTTTCACCATGGCAAAATGGGGAGGATGATATTGACCTTGCTATGATGCTTTTCCAATGTGTGGGTGAGTGTGCTGTGTCAGGGCTCAGCAGTACTGCTCTAAGCTCTCTTAGCTGTTTTCTCCCAGTCTGCTCTCTGTCCCTCCATGTAATGCTACTCAGCCCTCTCTGCTGGTGTCTTCCCTGTGAAGTATCATTAATGAGTGATCATTAATGAATGCATTGCCTCATAGTAATCCAAATAACAGCTTCTGCGGGGTCGTGCAGCCAGTCCTTGTGGGGAGCTTGTTTTTTGACCAAGCTAGGCTCATCTTGAAATGCCATGCACAGGTAGCAGAGCAGGTTTAGACTCCTGTTGCTGAACAGGACGAAAGGTGAATACATTAGGGGAAATCTTGAAAGCTTTGAAGTTGGCACTTACAGGCCAGGGCATAGAAAAGGCTGATTTTAAAGAAGGGACCTAATTTGTTTTTCCTCCATGAGCAAATGTGATTTTAAAGTTGGAAGGCCCAGATGCATCTGTGTAATCTCAAGCTCTACTCCCATGTGATTCTCCTTGTTACTCGTACTGGTGTCTTTGATACTGAGCATTTCTGATGTGGCAGAAAAACAAAGGTGCTTCGGGGCTCTGGCCACTGGGGATTCAGAGTTGCTCTGACCATAGAGGTTGATCTTGCTGTGTAATTGCTTCTTCAGGTTGTTTCTATGGATATGCATTCAGCCTCTCTTTATATGTCATCCGGGTGTAACCTTAAAGGCGAAGAACAATAGCAGTGCTATGTTACCTGAGGAGTGCTCATGTCTTACATTAACGTGCACTATGAATGTATACAGAATAAATGGAATATGATGATTACCTGGTGATGGTGTCTTTTCTGTATGTTGCAAAGAGAAAATTGTCACATTTCAAAGTGCATTTTAGTTTTTATTTAAAATTGAAAGCTCCAGGGAACTGGTTAGGATTACATAGGCCGTCTCTTGCCCTGTGGTTCCTGGCCTCTCTATAGCTAGACCAGTAGTCGTGCATCTTGCATTCTGCAGTTTACCCCCTTTCGATCCTGGGTCCCAAATGCAGCTCTCGCTCTTTAAACCCAGCCCACAGCAGGTTTTGCTGCTCCACCCCTGGAGTCCTCATGAAGAGTTGTCCTTGAGCACTTCAGTCTGGACTGTTGGCAACCTTTGTTTTCCAGGGCTCTCTTCTCTGGAGGAATAATTGGCATACCTCAGTCTATGTCCTTATATGTTCTACCTGGAGCAGTGGTTGCATTCTTCTGTCTGGCTAGTCTCGCTGCATTAGGTGTATTGAAAAGGATTCAAACTCAGTGATAATGAAGCATTAATACTGATTTTACCTCGAGGATCTCTTCTGCTGTCTCTCAACAGCAGGCGCAATACAGAATGCGAATGACGACTGCCTCCTCGGAAAAGCGAGGATCTTCCCTGTGTTATGCTCACACAGATGCCCAAAAGGCAGGAAGAGCATTGCCACACAAGCAAAATAATTCTTGAATTTGTGTGTGCAGAGGGAGATTTATGAGATTTTAGAGGCTGTTCCAAGTCAAGCAGGCACCATTAAAGACAGTCTAATAAGGGCATGGAGGAGGGTTGACTTGCAGGGCCAGCTTATTTTGTTTCCAGCTATCACTTTGTAAATTTTTAGCATTTGAACATCTTATCAACTGTGAACTGAACCAGAGCAGGTCAGACCTGTGTATAACTCCTGCATAACCTGTGCTGTACACAACCAGGACTAACCATTCAAAGTTGCATCAGGTTCCTTTCTCTTTCTTTCAAAAAGTATCGTAAACATTATGACCTCTAATTTTAAAAGTTGGGAGTTTTCCACCTGACTTCTGCTGTTTGAGCCTTCAGTGCTCATGTTTTTGATTTTTTGCAAATAAACCTAGGTATTAGAACTGTTTTTAAAGCAACGCTGAGGCTGTCTTTATTTCAGGAGCTTGAACTTCAAGAAGGAAACAAGACAGATACTATTGAACTTGAGTTCAACATCTCTAATCTGTTCCTATAGATGGTTTAGTTAAGATCTTTGCTCAGCATTAAGCAAAGCCAAAAACATGCGCAAAATAATCTTAAAAAATGGAATTGGGAAAGCATACACCAAAAACCCTAGTTTAATCTTATCCCTCCTTTTGTTCCTGGCAAACCTTGACAGTGTTAATTAAGTACCTTTAGCTGTCAGAATGGGTAGGCACGATTATGCCTATGTTATTCACAAAGGAAAATCTGAGGGACTTCGATCTTTGAGTGTGAAGACACTCACCAAATGAGAGTACTGGGTCAGGCTGCATTATTCCTGCTTATCCAGTGTGATGCTTGAAGCATTGCACGGGGGCCCTGGGTACTGCGCCCACCCTGAATCCTGCTTCTTTCCATTGTCCTCCACCGGCTTCTTTACTAGAATAGATTATTTCTGCAGGTGGTGGCATACAGTGCATCTCCCATCATGGCTGAGCACAGCCAGGTACCTTGTCTGTGCTCTTCTGGACCTTGAAGGTGAGAAACGCATTCGGTGAAAAAACAACTTAGGTCTGCATGGAAATATTTGGTCACCTAATGTCTCCAGTTAATCATGTTCTTTCCATTCCTCTCTTGTTTTGGTCAGGGGGCTGATCAGTTTCTACTGTTTATTCTGATCCTTGATGATAAGATTACATTTGAGTGAAAAGATATTGTTTGTCCTTTTGATTAATAAGCCAGAGAACAGAATACTTGCCATGTGACGTGTTTCTAAACTGAACTGCTTGAGGTCCCTGAGACAGGAAGGGAGGAGAGGGCAGATTGTGTGGACAGCTCTGTGCAACTGTATTACTTCTCCATCACCCCCAGCACCTCTGTCTGCTCCCACAGATGCGGGTAGATGTGAGGGTGGAGTGTCTTTTAGTTATTTATGACAACAGTCTAAAGAAAGTACTCTTTGAAGGAGAGGAAACCAGAAAGGAAGCAATTCAGTCTGATTTTGCTAACAGGAAAAACTATAAAAAAAATAGTGCAGTAGATTTAAAAAAACAATGAAAAAGAAACGGGCATGTGTGCACAAACAGGCATCCTTCCCTCTCTCATGGCTGATTGCTCATGGTATATCTTTGCAGGATAATTCTATATGCTGCTTGTTTGAACTGGAAATTGAACTTGGTGCAGAAAGGTTTTGATGAGTCTCTGACCTGTGTGATACAGGAGCTGAGACTCTGAAATCATTGACTCTTTCATGGCAGAGACGTTGCTAATGGTTGACTACAAGAGTGTAGATGAGAAAACTTGAAGTTTCCTTGGCACTTGATAAACAGAGGTGAAATGTAATAAGAGTATTAATGCTCTCTGGAGTACCCATCCTTTAAGCTGTGGTGTTTCCACCGTGAGGAACTTACGACAATATTTTGGAGGGGGTGGAATTTGGGGGCTGGTGGGAATGAGGTGCTTTAACTCGTAAAACCAGTGTTGAACAAGATGCGGTTTCACTCTCGCTGGCTTGTGCTGATCCACTCCAGGCGCAGGGGCCTTTACATAGGTTCTCTGCCAATAGCTCTGTGCAAAGAATTGCTTTGCTTTTTTTAAAAACTCTACAGTAAATGAGGGCTAATTATTTGATAGCATGCACAGTTTAGTTCCTGGGCTTATAAAAATCCCCCCTGAAA